TGAGCTCATATTGTCTCTCTTGAACTGATAATATAAAGATACAAAATAAGTTTACAAAAGCATTCAATACAATTGATCATTACCGAATTAGTAACCGTCTCATCTTTCTTTTCATAATAGATTTCGTCTGTATCTTCTGCAAGACGATATGAAATGAGCCATGGAGCAAGCAAGCCACATGTCAAGAGTGATACTACCATTTTGATGATATCGACAAGTGAAAGACCCATTTCAACGAGTTTGTTGAACCATATACGATTGAGCACTTGACTGAAACAATCTGTATTGATGAAACGCGAACAACGCCATGCAATCGCTACCTAGAAATTCTCTTTATTTCAATATCAGAGTATTATTAGAAATATTTTACCTGCATACATGTCATATTGCCAAATAAAGGTACTTGACGAATCATTAATTCACAAGCCTTACGCTCACTCTTTGAATAACAAGCATTAATGCAGTCGGTAGCATAAATTTCAAAGTCATCAGCCTGCTGCCTATACAGATGATACTTATCGCTAGCAGTTGTGTTGCTAGCATGATTGTTAAGAATAGCAGTACAACAGAGTGCTGCACAAATGCGAGGTCGAATATGAAGAATGAGAACTTTGGCCATACCAATACGGCCGTTAAATGCTGCCCAAAACAGAAGATCACGAAGCATAGTTTGTGTGCCTTCTTCAGCGAGCGTACCGTTCTTGATCTTGGTCTCTATGCTAGGGATTATTGGAAATAGCGGAGTTGCCTCAACAAAGATGTCAGTAAGTTCGATGTTAGTGAAGCTCGATTCATTTGAATTCAGCTGACAACGTGCCGGTTTGCACCAACATAGATTTCGCCTAAAAGAGTCTACAGCTGTTTCAATCTCCAATTTGATTTGATCTAATGGGGAACGCTGGCCGAAAAATGATGGCATAAAATTCCCTATCCATTTTGAATATAGAATATTCAACTGATTGATTGATCTCGGAAAAATATATTTGGATTCGTATTTGCCATTAGGATTCTAAAACACATCAACCATTTATAATGAAGTCTTAAATGATATCAAATAATAGAAACTCGTTGCTAAACATGATTTTCGTCAATGTCATTCGTTACCTTTTTTATCCTTAAACAACTTCTATCTCAGTCTTTAGATAAACAGAACGAGCAAAAAAATATGATACATCCAAATGTCATCTTCCATTGGTTTGTTCAATATCCTAGTTATGGACTTTTCTTTAGACAAATATGATATATTATATAACTATACTCGACGTAATCAAGGGGCCATAAATGTCTTTTACTTAGAAAGATATATATGGAGAAATTCAGCTTGTTACAACTTTCATTATGTGAAGAAATCAAAAAAAGTATTGTGTGAGCGTCATAAAAAAGTACATCATGTCATCTCAAACGCAGATGACATATCTTAGTAGTCGTGCATTAGGATTCTAGATTCATATTTTGATTTTGAAAAAAGTACTAGAACCAACGTGATGCAAAGTCTGCTGCAGGCACGTACCCAGAAATTTTCTGAGGGCCCAAAGTCCTGGGGGAGGGGGCACCATGGGAAAATTACAAAAATTTGCTGGGAAAAAAACGTATACCTGTACCCCCTACAGGCGTCTTCAGTCCTGAGGAGGGGGCCTGAACCCCATGCCCCTGCCTTCGGTACGTGCCTGGTCTACTGATTTATTATTTCGAGCATGGGTTGAAAAAGCAAGGATCATGTAGTCGTCAAGGTAATGATATCTCTATCTACTACTGTCTGCCTGTTTTCTGACTTAGACTTTTTCATTGACTATATGTGAACTGGCTTCACGACGTTGTTCAAATGATGAAAAACTGTAATTTCGAACTTTACCATAACAAGTTTAGAGAGTTAAATACTTCGATTCTAGAAGCGAACAAATCAAAAAGTTCAATTGTAATAATTTAATTGCGTATTATTTTTCTGGTTGTATTCCCCTGTGAACGATTAATTTAAAATAAAGTATCCTTTTTGTGGTTGTTCAAAAGGATTATGCCAAATAGACTAGAAACGTTCACTGTAGATGGATATCAAATAACTCATTTTAAGTTCCTTTGAACTCAAGTTTGAAAAAGACATTTTCTAAATTATCCAAACTTCGATACATTTCAAATACTCTCAATATGTGTAATGTTACGTTAATAAGTTACACTAAACTGAGTAGAACTACTTTGTTAAATTGTATTGTAGTTTTCATCTGATGGCAATTCAATTTATCAAACGTCATACTAGTAAACTGCATATCATTGACTTTCAGAATGCATGGAGGCTAGTTAGGTAGAAGTGTTTATCTTTATCGAACCGTGTTTAGAGCTCGAATCTCATCAAAGCTCTTTCTTTCAAACAATGATTTATAATGAAAAGCGTTTTTCTTACCAAGATTCGCTTTAAGATATTGTTAGTTTGATCAATCACCAAAAGTCTCAGCTGCGAAACTTTATTTATCAAGTACTGTCTCAAAATATTATATTCAGTTGCATAGTCTCTCTCCAATGCAAATTGTTTCGATTATTTTAAGACTAATTCTTGATTATACTGACTAGAATAGTAAAATCTTGTGAAAGTTAAAAGCCATCTAACACGATTATATGACACGGATCATATATGAGAAAGTTTTCTTCATAAACTATCCCTAGAATAGGACGGCCAGATAAATCTTTGATAATTTCCTCTATTAAAGCATAGAAAAACGTTGAACTATTTGTTTACTCATGGACGTTATGAGTTCATACATATTTTCTGTCGACAAAGTTTTGAACAGAAGACTAACCTGAGCATTTGACTTCGAAGCTTCTTTGTATAATAGAAATATCAAATCTAAACCTCGTTTGTTAAGTTCAACTTGATTTAGGTAGTTCATTATAGGTTCTTCATTCGAGTTTGCTGCCATGATATTATCGAGGACATTAGCATTTATTTGAATGGATTCACCGTTTCGAGTATTATCAATAGACCTGTCTGTTTCAAGAAAATCAAGTGTTAGCCGAGGATCGTAGTTAATTCGAAGGAAGAAATCGATAAAAGGTGGTCGATCATCATCGATAGCTTGCTTGAACAATTTTGCCAAAAGTTCAGGTTTCTGAAAGGAAAATATAGCCATTTTTCTCTGTCACTCAAAGAAAACGTTACATTGACATATTGCAACTCTTCGAGTAAGTTTTTTGCCTGATCAAAACAATCCCATTTGATTGCCAGTTGAAGTAGATGTTCATTTTGAGAGTCTCTATTGTTCTCTTTTGATTTAAGCTTCGCTGGATTCTTCTTATCTTCGTCTGCTTGAGCAAAACTTGCTAATAAAAAAAAACAAACAATAACAAGATATTGGTATCAGCCATGATTGCAACATGATAATTACCCTTGAAAATGGCATGTAAGATGGTTTGCTTCAAATTGAGCTCACTATTGATACGAAATACAGTCAGGTACATACGCTTTTCTGGATCCATAATTTTCTCGATTTGATCTATTTGTTGCTGTCGTTCTTGTTCCGTTTTAGCGCGCATGCGAAAACGCTTGAGATTATGTTCAATTTCATGGCGTTCTGGTTTTCTGCAAAAACAAAATATCTCAACACTTTATTTTTTAAAATATCACGACTTTTGATCAGCTGCAATCATGATTCAGTAGGTGTAAACATATCATTTCGAAATAACTTTATGGTTTTGAAATGAATACTTAAATCTACAACATTTATTTCTAGAGTTTACCATGTTGATGACCCACTAGACAAAGCACAATCAGCTATTTAACTACCTCCGAGGCGAAATTTTACAAATCAAACTGATTTCTGTGCTAAGACGGTTACAACTGATGCTATCAACTTGCTGATCTACTATGTTAGTTGCACAGTATCTGAAAACAAAAAGCGAGGATTTGAAAGTTCGAACATTGCATTTGCTTAATTCATTATCCTACATAGCTTCAATGTAAAAAAATGTACTAAATGTATTTATTGATGATTATTTGATTCATCACAATAGACTACTTTGATCGTATTTAGATTCATCGTTGGCAGAATTGAAACTAAAGTAGTAATATAACTGTTTTCGAACAAGGTCGTCTATTGTATTGTTCAAACAGAAAATGCGAATACTAAAATGAAGAGCTATTCATTCAAAAAGTTTAGCAAATGAATATGAGAAATAGACAGGCTTGCAAGAGCAAAATCGAACAGACATTGTATCGATTAAGTAGTGATATAAGCCATGATGTAGGAAACTTCACTAGCAGAGCCATGGCCCTCATATTGTTTTCTTAAAAAACTGAATATCGATGATCGTAAGAAAAGATGAAATATCAGTCATTAAAAAGATCGTGATCATCAGTACTGTAGCGAATCATGCGATCTACAAAAAATGCTTCTTTGACTCATAACACTATCTAATAATCATTCAGATCTTAATTTTAATTATAACGAAAGTTGCTAACTTCATATTTGTTATGCAGTGATCGAATACTTCAAAACAGCAGTATTATATTTGATTAGACCCTCGTATTTTTTTTACAATATCCAAAGCAAAAGTATATTTTCTTTTGCGACAATATTGTCGGCTTACACTACAGGTATCAGTCTGTATATAAAATGTCATCAAGATATCGACACAGAATAATCATTGATTATAACTACAAGTATCTTATACCTGTTATTCTATGAGGTTATTAGTCTTTATCGGAGGGCTAGTCTTCAGCTTCTGATTTTCGTTCTATATGTCATTGTTACATAACTGCTAATGAGAGAAAATATTCAATAATATGAGTGATATCTCAAAGAGGAAGCTGAATCAGATTTAACGAATTTCTCGAATATTCTTTGTTCTTTATATTGAATTTTCAAACTTTCAATACAATAATATATTCTAATAAATTTTGCTATGATGTTAACCGGAAGACTATGTCATAGTACTAACCTGGCTGGGGTATACTCATTGTTTGCTGTGAGTTCAATCAAACTAGCAATGACATCAGCCAGTTTTCCACTGCCCTATTCAGGCAAAGAAAGCAAGTGAACAGTATTTATGCATAAAACAATATATACTTGAACGAAAACAACTGGACGTTTATATTGAATGTCATTCAAAATTGCTAGACAAGGATTGATACCACCTTCAATCACAATAGTTACACTATAGCCTACACAGAAAATAGAATAAGATCAATAGATAATATCAACTTCGAACTTACACTTTTCAATCTCACAAGCATGTGTAACAAAATCAGAACGTTGCATTTCTTTTGGATAGTTGATAATTTTCATAAATTCTGCTTGTTGCTCTGATGACGAACTTTCTTCACGTTTATCCTGGCTACGATACTTGCCATCATCCAAAAGCAAAAAATGCGTATGATTCCTTTCCAGAGCATGAGTGTCTTTATCATCAAATCGAAAAGGAACTTTGGTATTGGTAAGAATCGTTTCACGACTATTTGTTCTAGAATACTTAAAAAAGAAAATTATATTTTCGATCAAATCATCATAACTTTATTACATACTTTCCTCTGTAGCTGTAACACCATTGTTCTCGCTTTTTCTGCTATATTTCCCCACCAGGCCATTCCGACTAAAGTCACATCTCGTTTCTTATATACTAATGCTCGAAGACGAGCAACTCCTTCACCAATTAACTTTGCAGCACCGTTGTTCAGACCAGACGTAATAATCCACGTTCCTAAAGTAGACTTCAATTGATGAGCATGTAGAACTGTATATACATACAAATTCTTTTACCTGAAGTGATGGCTGCTTCTGCCATACTATCCATAAATTCTTTTTCGATATCTTCACTCATTGTAAAATACTTGCGACCTCCATAAACACTGATAATTAATTTCGGTTGGTTACAAACACTTCGCATTAACTCGTAGAGTGTTTCAATATCTTTTTGAGTCTCGCACGAACATCGTAGGAACTAAATCAGTTAGTAAAGAGCATATGTGATCATGAGTGAGAAAGAATCTTGTATTTGCTCACTTTAGCAGATGGGGTGGACCGATAAATGATGGCCTTTAATGGTTCCGTATGGTTTTCAACTTTCCATTCTTCTTGTGTAGGTTTTTCTTCTAACTCAGGTCCATCAAAACTGTGTTGACGAACAAGACGTTGACATCCACATTTCTCATCTATTGTCGCTGATTGCGAATATCTACTGTAAACTTTGCATTGATGAGATTTAAGTCTTCCTTCTGCAAATAGCATTTCTATTGTTTGTCCCCATGTATCACTCTCTTTACAATGAGCCATATAATGTCTTCTAAAAAAAAATAATGATGAAAACCAATTTAATAATGATGCAACTTCTATTTCGCACTCAATCCTTTGTCAATCAATGGTGCTGACAAATACATCGACTCCATAAGTGATGACAGTTAGACAACTTTCATTTGCAGTCAATCTCTACTGTATAATGACAAACTAGAAGAGTAGTTCAATGTCGCCCTCGGTGACGATGTTTATTGAACTATTTCACATACAACATACGCTTATATATAGAAGCAAGCAAGAGAAACAAATGAGTACAGGAAAGAACAATAAAAAGTAAAGAAGAACGAGAGACTACTTAGAGGTGACATCAATATCGGCACACACTGTACATGCATTTCGTAAGACAACAACAATTCCAAAATAGAATCAAGCACATTTTAAAATCAACTCTTTCACTATTGCGTTGGATAGAAACTAGATGAAGATTTTCAAATAGATCTGTATTTGATCAGAGCTAGTTTTACACAAGTTATGTTTCTAGTAAAGGGAATTAGAATAACAAGAGCAAAAACCTCAGATATCAACGAACATCGACGAAATATTAGGAGTTTGTTATTCTGATATATAGTAAATTTGTACATTTCTAAACCTTTTTCTTTATAATAGCTCAGCGACAGATTTCGTCTAAGTAAAGATAGTATTTTGATTACAATTGAAATCTATTCTCTTATAATGATCAGATTTCCATCCGCAATCTGCGAAAGTGATTATTAGACACACTAGAGACAAAGAACACTGCATCGTTGCTACATCGAAAACCTCAATAGTCAAGGCTCTCCATGACAGATCTACTATGATATTCAATAGCGACGAATTCTATTTATCAGCAACGTCTCAGATTAAAAATATAGAATTCAATTTTTTATTAAATATTTTATCAAGAAATAATGCAAAATACAGTGGACGAATCATTTTACAGTTTAACTAGTGTTTTTAATACTATCCTCACAGGCAAAATACAGAGCCACTATCGCCGACTTATACTTTGAAAGGCTATTGTAAATCACATGTTGACTTTTGATCAGAGAACAGGATATCTGTAGGTTTGTAGAAGAAGGCATACTATAGAGTTGTGTTGCGTACCGTGAGATAAAGTTGAATTGAAAAAACTATGGATTTTACATTTCATAAGGAAGTTCTCCAACACCAAAATCTAAACTATATAGAATTAAGCCAGATCCTGACCCTATGATGTATATAATGCAAGATAGTTCGTAATGTCTACTTGAATAATCTGGGCCACTATTCTCCATATGCGAATTTTGGTGTGACTCATAAAAGCTCACATGGTGTAAAATGAGATGGAACTTCTGTACATCTGATTCAATGTGTAAAGGCGAAATTCAGTTAACAAAAGCAAAAAGTAATCAAACGAGATGTATAACTTGGGTTCCCAATGCTATTAAACGAAGTTTCGAAAGACTGGAATAATGGAAGTTTATTGTTTCTTTTGTTAATACTGACTTTGTATCCATCATATGTGCAATAATGAAAATATGATGTGCTATTGGCAATCCTGTTTTTTGTAGTTTGGTGAAATATAATGATGACGTTCCTTCTAATGCTAAAGTTACTATACGTAATTTAGAATTCGAGAATGAAGTCATTTCGTTAGCAGCAAATACGAGTAACATACTAACATACAATAGTATCGTTTTAACCATAAGTTTCGAAAAGATCGGTTTTTTCACCTATTTTCGTATTATATAAGTACTTTTGTCGCCAAAATTTTAATGCACTCAAAGATTCAACGAAGGAGATATGATTGTTAAATATGGAAAGCGGTCTCCATTGACTCAGCAATCAACTTCGTATAAAAAATTATGAAGTTTAAGAGCAGTGGTGTCATATCCATAGAGGATTGCAGAGTGATTGTAAATCGAAAAACCGAAGAATGAAGTGAGATCAGCTAATTTGTAGATTGCAATGGATGTCTGACCGGATTATGAATAAGATAAGGAAAAAAAATCAGCATAGTGCCAAGCCTTTTGTTTGTGATACATTTAGAAAGTATACTACAAAAATGATGCGACTAGAGAAATCCATTAAATTTTGAAATATCATAAGGTCCATAGTATACCTTTTTTTCAGTTTATAGAAGAACGAATAGTGTATCTTTTGTAGGAAGGCTCCTATATGTATTGCATATGAAAAATTGTGATGATACTTCGATTTTATGAATAAAATTTTTTTTTAATGTTTAACTCTTAGATTTTTATTTAATTCGTCGAAATTCAAATAGTTTTCTCGATACTTCTACGCCATTAAAAGATTCTATTACAAGTTCTCGAATTCGCTGCTGTGTTAGTTTCCTAAGAATAAAGTTTGTGTCTCGCATCACCCTTATTCTCGATGCAATGTAAGCGTTATATACACCATTTAGTTTGACATTGTTTGTAGTAAGACTAGTCTCCGTATACGAACTACTTCAATATAGACTATCAAATCTACATAGTGAGCATCATCAATCAGCACTTTCTTATAATTAATTTCTAGTAATTAAGTTGCTTCATTTTCAAGTTCCATCGTTTTTTGTTGTTTGTCACTATTGACTTTCAAGCTAAACTTTATCGTTGTTCTGAGTATGTAGACCTATAGATATACTTACATATCAAATGATACTGAAGTGAACGAGGTTTTTTGTGCGTGCTCTCAAACGATTTTGTTTCGTATTTATCGTTGACGAATTATCTGATTTTTTTTCAACTTACGTATGTGTATATAAATTAATGAAACGCATGGTATTTTTGGTCAAGTAGACAGGTTTTTCTCATTAACTCACTCGTCCATGCGTTTCTTCTCTTCTTTCAATACTCTTTCTCTGTCTTTGCCTTCCTTTGCATTTTGTGCTGTTCCAATGAGAAAGTATACACTGATATTTACATATACGAACGCGTTACGCTTGACTCTCGAAATTTCTCTTTCATGAGTAAACAAAAAAAAATAGTGTTTTATATCATACATGAGAAATGCTAACAGGGTGTTATTTAACGTCACTTTTCTTAATTCCTGCCTTTCGCATTCTACAGATAAGAGATGTTCTCATTTTTTCTTTCTGTATTGAACTTGTACTAAACGTATATGTACACGTGTATTCAAACGTAACCAGAGTGTATTTAGTTATTTAAAATTAATATTATTAAAAATAAAATTCAAATAAAGTATTTAAAATGTCATATGACAATTATAACAAAATGAATGTAGCACATAATGATAGATTATGTGATGGAGCTAGTTTACTATAGGAAATCCAACATTTCCAACATCATAAAGAAAGAAGTGAAAAATAAACATCATTAAAACGTCATAACACAAATCATAGCTAATTTGAAGAGCAATAATTGACTGATAATTTCGATGAGAATAACAATATAAAATATCAGCAAGTTATGTCTGACTGAGTTAAAAACAAAATGAAAGATAAAGATGATAGATACGCATCAAAAACCAAAAGAAATCCAAATTCACTAAATGAAAATAATAATAACAATAATTTGAATCGAACACAACTCAAGAGATCAGGACCAGCAGTGCACCAACCACCTCAATTATTATTATTAAAGAACAATAACAACACTTTCACTGAGATTATGCAAACTCTAACAAAAAAAAAACATAGATCTGTATGTATATACTTTGTAGAGAAGAAAGATACTCAAATATTAAGATGGATTAAAAATACAATATCTTTCAACGAACTGAAAAATCATTTATGTCCAAGATATAAATCAATTTATGCAATGGAGGAAATACTAGAAGTTGCAAATAAAGCTAACCGACATATACGTATCGATTTTTCAGATAAAAAGCAATATGATCAACTATTAAACAGTGAAAAAATTACAATTCATGAGAGGCTATATGATGCCGATGAATATCTTTTGGCTCGAAAATTATTGATATGTACAAAATATAAGCAATCAGAGCATGTAAAAAAGGTTTGTTCTTCTTCATTAGTTGAAATTTGTCGACGATATATGGAAAGGACAGAAATAATGCAGATGACTGTAAATCATGCCGAATCAAATATCACCACATCTAAGAAGACCATACTTCTACAGATTACAAATGCTCAATTATCTAAGAGTATAGAAGAAATTTTCTATTAAAAGTTCATAAACATCCAGATCTTTTGTCTGTAAATATACAAACTATTATTTCATCTAAATTTTAACAAAATGGTGAAAAAAGGAAATTTATTGAAAAATAAGTTAGCACACCAGCAACAAATTACGTTTGCTGGAAATAATTATAATGTATACTCTACTATGAGGAACAATGGAATTTCCTCCTTTATTGTTTCTTTTTTTGTTTTTATAATTATATTTCTTTTATTTGTTTTAAATTACTATACACATAGAGAGGGAAAAGTCCAGCACGCGCTGCATCTTTTGATATATTTACGTGAACATCAAATATAGTTTAAGAGATAATGAATATATTACAAAAAAAAGTGACATTGTTTTTATTCCAATATATATTCACATCTATTATCCATTTCAAAATAAAAGAAGCATGAGTATTTTTATTTTTTACAAAAAATACACCTTATCCACCTATTCAAGTATCAGTTTTAAAAAAAAAACTTCACTGGAAACTCTGTCAATGTTTGTCCGAAAAAAATGCAACGTGTTCTGAGCTTTCTCTCCCTGCGTATATTAATTTAAAAAATTAAAGAAATATAGTTATAAAAAGAAAAAAAAACAAAGAGGAGAAATTCAATTGGTCCCCATTGTACTTCGATAGTTGTTACTACCTTTTTATCGTCTATATATATGTAATCTATGATTTCAATGTGAAGTTAGATTGTGTAAATAAATAAATGCTGAGAAAAAAAGTAAAATTTTCTTTTTTTCTTTTTTTCTTCCTTCTGATATCATCAGAATTGCCCAAAAGCTACCGATTGAATTGTGATTTAGAAGACCGATAAAGTATAAGATTACATGGCGATTAAATGACAAGAGCTGACGATTTTTTCGCAGCTTTCATAAAAGAATCGTAATTACTCTACAAATCTTTTCAATTAGTAAATACATAAATTTAGTCAACTTGTCATCAAAAAATTATTAAAGGGTCCCTTAAGAGCTTCTCAAAAAATAGCGCCAGAGATTCCTGGTGATTTAAAGAATTTCTTAAGGAAATTAGTACGGAAATTATAACTATTGTAAGTTTTATATACGACATCAATTATTGTTGTATTCTCATGAACTTTTCATAAAGAGCAAGAATGTATATTTCTTTTCCCCTCTATGTGAAGATAAAAATATAACAATTTTTCAAGTATATTGATCAATAAAATTATAGTTAACTTTAATTCAAATAAAAGATATTAAATAATTTATATTGTAAAAACATACTTACTGATAAAATTGCTGTTGCAATTATCTCTAAAGAAAAAAAAAATATAATTTATCTTATAAAATACTAATTATTAATGAATCTGCTATTGCAATTCACTTAAATTAAAAAATTACAATCTATCTTATGAGATAGTTCAATTATTGCTGATATTTATTTAAATACAAATAATATAATATATTTTACTAAATAATACAATTTATTTCTTAATAATATATTTGCTATATTATCGTGTATTAAAACAGTTGCTCTAACAAAATAAGATGCATTGTAGACGGCCTCAAAAAACAAATGATCATGCCTTTTTTCTTTTTGGTTAAAACTAACCAGACAGTAAATATTCAGTCGAAAATTTCATCAAATATCATATCTATGAAATTACCAAAAGTATTTTTTGAAAGCGAAATCATCTAAATTTAATTTTTTTTGCTTTCAGAAATAAGAAACTTTAGGAATAGTTTTTTTTATGTAGATGATTCTTATGTCGCTGCTTTTGAAGTATTGCAATTAATAGCCTATATTTTGATAATCGTCAAAACTTACGTGTTTTCAATGATATGGGTTTCTTTCTGCATGATTGCATCTCATCAAGGACCTTTTCTCACTATGTCTCTCTCGATTTTGTAACAAATCGGCAAGTTTCAATGAATACGATTGCGTTAAAATCAATCTAACAATATTCATTGAATTTCAGGAATCAGTTCTCAATGACTTTCATTTTTCATCTGACAAGAATACTTTAAAATTTTTTATCATATACAAAGAGATGAAAACCGACACCTTACGAGGGGACCTTTCCAGGTATCAAATCGCTTTTCAACTGAGGTGATGTTAATTTGATGAATGATAAAGAGTAATAGAAAAGTTCAGAATGGTTTGGTTCTTCGGTCCTTCATTAGCGAGATATCGAATTTTACTGAAGTTGTCAATAAAAAGTTATTATTATTCGGCTCAGGTCGGGTGGAAAATCGACTTTTGAGTTTCGATTGCAAACTTTACATAAGCAAAACTCCTCATGAGATTAGTTGATTGTATAAGTGTTACCTTTTCTATTATTTTCTTTCTGGGGATGTGAGTATATGAACAAAGTTCGATTTTACACATGCGTGAATTTCGAATATTCAATATTGCATAATAGGAAATGCTGGAAACGTTACAACTTGCCCAATGACCCAATCTCATGGAAAACGTTGTTCTGGCATAGTTGGAAGCTTAACCTTGAAAGTCGATTTTCCAGGTGACTACAGTGAGACCACAAATTTTTGTTGAAAAAACTAGTGAAATTTTAATATCTCAAGAACGAAGGTTTAGAAAATCGAACTATGCTACATTTTTCTGTTATTCATTAGTACTCATTCAATGAACATCATTTTGATCGAAAAGCTTTTTGACGTCTAAAGAAGTTTCCTCATTACTTTTCTTTCAAGCTTCAAGATAATTAAAACCCAGACAGAGAGAAAAGCTCGGTACCACTCTGTTTGTTTATATCTAAGACAGTCGTGAATATAGCTTACGATAGATAATGAATTAGAAAGAGCATCACGCTTTCAATCGCTAGTAGTATTCATTAGAAACATGCTGATATCTGTTAATTGAGTTCTCATAGTAATGAATTTCCCAAAGGTTGGCTTTACAATTTCTTCACGACTTCGATCATGTGATCGGTTGAAAACGTGAATTTTCGAATTTCCTGTAGCAATAAAACGCTGATGTCAGTAAAATATGAGTGACTTTTATAGAAAAGTATTTGACGATCAATTATATAGATGATCATTCATGTTTTTTTTTATGAAGATATCAATATTTTCGACAGTTGACATTCTAGTAAGAGTATATTCTATTTTCAGTAGTCGAAGATAGTTACGTTTCCATCTTGAGAGAAATTCAAATATTTCTTTCCTTGAAAATCATCTTAACAGTTGCCTATATTCTCACTCACTTTATGTTTCTATAAAAGTTGTGTAGAAATATTCTAAAGTGAGCTTTTTAACCCTCTACTCTTCGTTGGTGACTGGAATGACCATTTATAGCACAATTAATGATAAGAACTTGGTTTTATGGTAAACTTCAAGGGCTATCAATTGTTAAAAAGAATATTTCTTTTGCTTGTTCCGTCTTTGAAATATATGGTCCACAAAATCGATAACTTCCGAAAAAAAAATGGAAACAATCCAATTTTTATAAATAAAATGTTCTCTACCTACAATCAACAGATATCTTTTGAAATTTCTTTATGATATAAATCGTTGAAGAAGTCCATTAGTGTATTAGATATGTTTCGAAAGTTTCATTATAGCTCTTCGAATTACGAATACAAAGATTGATAACTGATCATGCAGCCACCATTGAGTAGAAGGATGGTAATGAAGAACAAAATTAATATGTATATTATAAACCTTTACTCATGAGAAATTGTGAATAATTACGGTAAATTGATATTTGTATTCGCTCTACTATATGTACAAATGTTTCATTCAGATGTACATATATATCATGAGATCAAATACAATTTTCAAAAGATGCTGTAAGCAAAGGCATAATTACACATTTATTTGATTGAATGAAGCAATTACAAACATAAGTAGTATTATTTAGTGAACTTCCGGTTGTGGACGAACTATACAATGTAAATATTGGAATTTGTAGCAAAAAAGTTGAACAGACCGTATGCTTACAAGATATGTAATAAACCCATAAGTTACTAATGAATCAGTCACAAAACTTACAAGACTTATTGACATCTTGCTATACACAAAACAAATAGTTTCTTAATATTGTAGACTTTGAATGCGATGAATACTTTGTTTTATGAATAGATTTAAAATTTTTATTTCCACTGCTATTTTTCAAGCCTTAGTTGATATTAACAAAAATTAGTGAATATTATAATATCCTGTTCACAATACAAAAAAATATGAGATCTTCATCAAATATAACGATTAATCAAGATTCTAATAATAAATCAGTATAAAACATTTGACTAGCTGTTAAATCAAACCAAGAAGATATGTTTTTATTTACTCGTAAACTTATTTAAAAAAAATCCGTCATGAATAGACATCTGTCGAACATAATATATATAGGAGTGAGAATTTATCTATTTAAATTCACTTGATTTTTCTTTTTTAGTGCTATAGAATAAGCATCTCGTATCTTATCTATTGCTTTGTCTTTCAAAAGAACTAGTTCGTTCTTTTTTTCTTCGTGTTATTATTTGATATTCATGCGTATTTTTTGTCTCGTTTGTTATCTACCCTTTTCCCACCTGTACTAAATCATATATATAAATATACGTAATAGTGTATCAAAGTTTTATTTTCTCGAGGTAGTCGAACAAGTTAACTTAACAATGTCAACAAATGATTCTGTTGTCTCATCAACATCATTTTTTCAATCAGATGGATGGTTTTTTTCTGTCTATCTTATTGCGACATATGAAATTGTTTTTTGGTTATGTAATAGTTTTTTAATTTATATTGAAATATTTGATATTCCATCAATCGATCAATATCGTATACAAAAACAAAAGAAAAAATTACGTTTTCAATCTGATATAGTTCATTTAATGATTCAACAAACTATTCATCATCAAATATCTTTATTTTTTCTTACACCAGTTCTTTATTATATTTTTAATTATTTTGGTCATGTTGATGTACAAGGGGTACGACCATCATGGTCGACTATTCTTTTTCAAATTGGTCTTTTTATTCTATCAGAAGATACAATTTTCTTTTGGACACATTATTTATTACATACACCATGGTTATATAAAAATATACATAAAAAACATCATGTTTATAAACAACCAACAGGTGTGACTGCTGTTTTAAGTGATCCAATTGAAAGTATAATAAATCAATTTGCTGTTTGGTTTATGCCTATACTATTGAAAGAAACACATATATTTACAATATGTCTTTGGGCTGCTATTCGAGTTTATCAAACAATTCTAGCACATTCCGGATATGATTTTCCATATATTAGTACACAATATTGGTTCCCAGATCTAATGCCAGGTGCTTTAGCACATGATTTTCATCATCAACATGGTAAATGGAGTTATGGATCATTTTTTTCTATTTGGGATCAAATAATGGGTACACATAGACTTTCAACAAGTAAAAAACAAATTAATTAATCATATTGACCTTTATAAGTTATAAGAAAAGAATGTCTAATCTTGTATTATAATTCGTTTGAGAAGTTTCTAATTATTGAACATTTAAAAATGTCTTAGATATTCACACATACCATTATTAACACATAATCATATATTTTAATATTCATATATATACGTTTCTTCCTTCTCTCTAAAATTCTACTTTTTTTTAAAATGCATTACAAAGTAAAGAAAAATGTACATTCGAGTAAATAAATAAATATATGTACATACACATATACATAAATGTATATTACAGAAACACTGAAAACTGATGATTAAAGTATTTAATAGACCATTTCTATTACTAATTTTTTCTTTGCGTCATATTCTTCTTTCTTTATTTTTTTCTTACTATTCTTCAATACGAGCAAAGAAAACAAAAACTTTTTCAACGGCAAAAACACTTTTTTTTCTCTTGTTGATAAGAAAAGAATCAAGTCTTAAGGTCGATATTAATACTTACATTACTTACTTAGCTACCAGTAATTTTTTCGTTTTCTCCTTCTCCACCTCCTCTTTGGTTTTCTTTGTCCTATATATATTATAATCATATTTTAATTTTATTCGTATGTTGAGTCATATTAGTCGATGATTCAGACAGAACAAGCATTCCTATTATTAAGTTTTTACTAAAAAAGGAAAAAGATGATGATGACTAATAGTCATGACAAAAGAAAAGAATCATCTATGGTATATTTTTTAGATATATAGTCAGTTAAAAAGTTTCATCTTTTATAATATTCTACCAACATGTCTTCATCATTTTCTGCTTATCGAAATCCAAATTCTAACCGATCGAATAGTGTCAATGACGATGGTTCAAAAGATCTTAAAAGTAATATACGTGAAAGTCGTTGGATTCAACCTGAACAATGGCAATCACCTGAAATTGAAGAAAAATTTCAAAAGGTAAAAAAAAACAAAGATTCTAGTATATTTTATTACAATAAACGTTTCATTTTATTCATTTTAAAGGGTGTGATTGATTTTTCTGAAGTACTCGGTATGCTTCAACAACTTGGTATTAAAGTTCAAAAATTTGAATTAGATAAAATTCTTGAAAAACATGATAAGAATAAAGATGGTAAATTAACTAAAGAGGAATTTGAAGATGTAAGAAAATATAAATTTTAATATATTATTGAATATGATATAAATCTTTCATGTAGCTCTATTTAAAATTACGTGCTGAAAAAGATCCAGGTAGTACATGGAATAAAAATGTTAAACCAACGGCCGGTGCTGTTGATCGATTCGTTACAAAAAAGGATGTATCCGATGATGTAAATGCAAATTCTTCTCCTGTTGAAAAACAACAAGACGCATCAGGTCCATATCATAGTGTATTAGTTGAAGAACGTGTATGGACAGCAAATTGGTTGAATCAGTATGTATTTATTATTAATATATGCATAAATATTTATAGAAATATTATGTTCATTTTTTTTTTATTAGACATCTAGCTGATGATCCTTATTTAAAGTTACGTACTAATCCAATTGATTCACAGGATGCACATGCACTTTATAAACGTTGTCAAGATGGTATTTTACTTTGGTATGTTAAAGTACAACTAAATGATGATTAAAAATTATTTTGTTTTGTCTTTTTTTCTTTCAAGTAAATTAATCAATATTGCCGTACCGAAAACAATAGATGAACGTGCAATTAATTTAAATTTTTCTAAACAAGATATATTTCGTCAAAGTGAAAATTTAGAACTTGGTAAAAAGATATTTTTTATTAAATTATATATTATTAATTCTATGTTTGTTTATTTGTTTTTTTTTTTCTAATTAGCTATTAATTCTGCTCGTGGTATTGGTTGTAAAGTAGTAAATATTCATCCAGAAAATATTTCAAAAGGTGTACCACATCTTGTCATGGGTCTTCTATGGCAAATAATTCGAGTAAGAAGAAAATATTCGTTTTTTTGAATTATTATCAGCAAGAAAAAAAACTTTCTTTTTTTTTCTGTTAATTAGATTCAATTAACAAGCGAAATCAATTTAAAACATTTTCCTGGTCTTGTTCTTCTATTGCGTGATGGTGAAACACCTGAAGATTTATTAAAATTATCACCAGAAGAATTATTACTTCGTTGGTTTAATTATCAACTTCAACGTTCACAATATAAAGGCAAACCAGTAACAAATTTTAGCGGTGATATCAAAGTATATAGTTGTTTTCTTTTGTTTTAAAAAAAATATAAAATGTTTCATTTTCTTATGAAAATTTAGAATTCCGAAGCATATACTTATTTGCTTAACGTTATCGCACCGGGAAATACAAAACCACCACTAACACTTAATCCATTGAATGTAAGAAAGAAAGACGAATTAAAAAAGAAATAAATGTTACTGTTTTCATAATATAGGAAACTGATTTACGTCGTCGAGCTGAACTAATGTTACAAGAATCAGATAAGATAAAAGCACGAGCACATATTACACCTGACGATGTTGTTAAAGGAAATCCAAGACTTAATTTTGCGTATGTTGCCTTTTCTTTTTAAAGACGAAACATTTAAATTCAAAAGAATTCTTTTTTTCGTTTTTAGTTTTGTAGCTAATTTATTTAATACATATCCAGCATTAGATCTTCCGACTGAAAAAGTACCGGAACCAGGCATTGTCATAGAAGAAACTCGTGAAGAAAAGACTTATAGAAATTTCATAAATAGTCTGGGTATTGAACCACATGTTAATTATCTTTATTCAGATCTTTGTGATGGTTTAATAATACTTCAAGTAAGTTGTATATATTTATTTATTGAATACGAAAAAAAACCATGACGTCATTATTTAGCTTTATGATATTATTCGTCCAAATACAGTTGATTGGTCAAAAATCTATAAAACTTTTAATGCAATTAAAGAACGTTTCCAAAAATTAAGTAAGTATTTATTTTCCTAATGAAAAAGAATTTCTTTAATCTTTTATATGTATAGATAATTGTAATTATGCTGTTGATTATGCAAAAGAACCACTTAATTTCAAAATAACTGGTATTGGTGGTGCAGATATTCTTGAAGGTAATAAAACATTAACACTTGGTCTTGTTTGGCAAATAATGAGAGCATATACATTATCAATTTTACAAAAATTGGCAAAATCAACTAAGCCTATTGCTGACAAAGATATTATTAATTGGGCAAATGAAAAAGTAAAGTAGAGTTCTTTTTTTATAAACAATTTTCTTTAAATATTCATTTTTATTTTTAGTTAAAAAGTGCCAATAAAAAAACAGTTTTAACTAGTTTTCACGATCAAGCATTAAGTGATTCAATGCTTATTTGTGATTTAATTGATGCTATCAAACCAGGTTCTATTCAATATCATTTACTGAAAACATCTGAAACACCAGAAGTATAGATTTTCTTTTTTTTTCATCTTATAGTCTTATTTTATTTATTAATTTAGGCTAAAATGGATAATGCTTTATATGCTATTTCAATGGCAAGAAAAATTGGTGCACGTATTTATGCATTACCAGATGATATTGTTGAAACAAAACAAAAGATGCTTTTAACAGTTTTTGCTTGTCTTATGGCAAGTGATATGCTTGCACCAAAAAATTAACTTTTTCTTTTTTGTATCTTAAACGAACTTGTTTGTGTGTGTGCTTGTGCATTTTATTTTCATTAATTCTAACTACGACATCCCTTATTATTTTGTTTTGGTTTTTGTATGTGTGTAGAGAAAAATACCTCATTCGATCCTATGAAACTTTTATTGACTAGGTACAAGCTAGCTTTTTATTTTTTATTTTTTAACTTCTTGAATTATTATCAGTATGAAAAGAAAATGTATAAGATAGAAAATTTGAGTAGATCATTGTCTTTTTTTTTGTATCTAATGGTACATAGGTTTTTTCATAGAAATGTAAATGAAATTGAACAGTGAGTAATAAATCACTGATTGATATCAGGAAAATAATTAATAATAAATGATTAAGCAACTTAAATACGTAATTTTGATGATAAGAATAAAAAAATGATTATTTTTATCTGACTAGGTCACCGAAAGTTCACCAATATGGGCAAAGTTCACAAAAAAAGACTAGCGAAACTATTAGCGAAAGTTCAGTAGGTATCCACTAATTATTCGAGAAGAGTGCGATTTCTGTCGGACGAAGTATAATATATATTTTGTTCTGTTAATAATAACTTTGAGTTGATGGACAAAATATCAGCGGGACATAAGAAAATTCGTTTAACTGACTTCTACTAATTTATTGGTGTTTCGTTTTTTTATATTATAACTTAACATAGGTTGATTTTTCATAGTTTGATGAAAATAAGAACACTTGATAAGTGAAATTGCATAAATGATTTGACATATTCATGGAATTTTGTATTATTTATTTGCATTTTATTTAAAAAGACTTATTTAAATGCAATGTTTTTTGTATTTTCAATCCTTAGTATATTTTAATGCATTGAAACATACTAGAAAAACTGATTTTCAAATTTTGACTTGAAAACTTGATTACAGACAAGCTTTAACGAGAATATTTTATTTTGCAAGTTTCATATCTTTTCATTGGCTTCTATTTTGAACTACCCGTTTACATGAGCGATGTAAAAGATACATTAGGATCATAGTTGCATCTTAGGGTAGGAATAACGACAAGATCTGAAACATTCACAAAAGGTTACTCTTGTTAAAACATCAGTTTTTCTGATGTTCCTGAAAGAGATCAAGACATTCATTTAAAAATGCAGTATCTTCGCAGTAATACACTAAGATTATAAACTCTATTCAGAATATTCATAATTCGTTTGGATCTACATGATGCACATAGTTCCGATTGAAAAGTAATTTATCAGTTTGGAGACTTTCTCGATAGTTTATAGCAATTATTTGATTTAACAACTGCACCTATTGAAAACAATTTCATGTCCTATGACTCGAATAACTACAAACGATAAACGTTTTTTTTTAATAGAAAAATAAAACTTGACTATGTTAAA